TCAGTAGCCAGAAGCCGGAAGTACCGACCTAGATGAAGATTTCGTAATCCCTTCACTTTGTAGTTGGATTGAGAGCCAGACCAGCTAGGTTATGCCCTTCCCAAATGGAGAACCTGATTCTGATGTCGATCGAGTTTGTGAAATCCTTAAGAAAGAGTATTCATGGTACGATAAAGTTGTTGAAGCGCTAAATGGGTGCGAGGTAAGTGTGTCAAACAGCTTGATAGAGAAGCTTTTGAAGAGATTTGATAATATGATTGGATTCCAGCTTGGGGGGTTTTCACTCGGGCAAAATGACAAACAGGTTATGAGCATACCCCTGAGGGAATGGTACCCTATCAGTTAACGGTACCCTATCAGTTAACGGGACCCTATCAGTTAACATATAAAAAATGTTTTGGGGTTTTTTTTGGCTAATAGCTAGATACAGGTAGGATAAAATTATAGTAAAGTATTTAGGGATTTTGGAGGTGAGAAACTAAGGAAGCGAGAAACAATGGCGAAAACATTTTTTGAGACTGTCAGATTTAGGAACGGAGCAAGTAGAAAAACTGTGAGAGAATCTGAAATCATGGAGAGGGGGAGGAAAACTAGAAGGAAGTTGGGGAAAAAGAAAACTTGAAAATTGAATATAAAAAGCTAAAGAAAGCTGAGAAAATCTCAGCGGAGGGGAGGGATGCGACGACTCTCATGTAGCTCGTGGAACCCTAGCTGGGCAGGGCTCTACTTTTGTTCTTTGGTTTTTTTTTTTTTAAACAGGGGGGAATTTGGGGGAAAAGGAGATGAGGCTGCTATTACAGCTTAAACACTGACTGAAACCAAGAGTTAAGTGCAGCCGATTAAAGCAGCCAAAGCTGCGGCTGCAGGGCTCTACTTTTGTTTAGATCGGGATTGAATCGAATTTTGACTTGTATAGTGAGAGAGGAAGCTTATTAGCAAAATTGTTAAAGTGGGTCCAATCTAAAGAAAATTGTAAAAGAATCCTTTCCTTATTAGAACAGGCGTGAGATATGTTGTAACAGTTTAGAAAAGTTAAGGAAAGTTTGCCCCCAATCTAAACACCCCTAAATTAAAGGTTTCGTGTGTAGTGAAGTTTATCTGTCAAAGTTTGGGTTTTGAATAGGGGATTGCAAGTGTAAAATCCTGAATCAAATCCTCTGTCTGATTAAAATTAAATCAATGCTACTGGGTTTTCAGTTTCATTTCAGCCTTTTGCTTTCTGCAATTCCCACAATAATAACGATCTATATCAATTGACTTTCGTTTTTATTTGTGGTTTGCAGTTGAGTTTAGAGGAAAATCTGTCTCTAACCATGAAGTTATTCAAAGCTGCGATATGGTAATCAACGGAGGTTGCACAGAAGCAATGCTGCTGGCATCGCTGTGAAAAGCAGATACCGTATGCGAAGACCGTGGACGTGAGTTATAAGGTCATTAATGGGGCTCATCGGTGCTACTGTCACGCGATATATAGAGGTAAGCCAGGTTCTTGTGCGCCATGACTCTGGGTAGTGGAATATAAATATAGAAACTAACTGTAATTAATGACTTCGAGTTTTGAGGAGCCGCATGTACCTTAATCCCAAACAGTGGTTATTTCAATTGCGGGTTTTGGAGGCGCAATAACATAGGTTGTTTCAATTGTAACCATGAAATAAATAGTTGTTTTCGTAGTACTTTATTTTTAAGAAACGCCAAATCATAAAATTCAGATAGAAATACTTGAACAGAACAACTATGCTTCCATCCAATGGTAACATTAATCATAAATGCTCAAAAACGCTAAGATATAGCTAGGTTTCTTCAAGAATGCTCCCAGACTCCAGCACTCCAGCTCACGGAAGCATCTTGTTGATACGCGAGACATGGAATGGGCGAACACGGATACGCAAATGAAAAGCATCTTTTCCAGCATATTTTGCCATGTGCTTGTTGCAAGCAATTCGGGCGGCTTCAAGTGCTTCACAGGAAACCATGGACGGAGCCAGGGCGGTGCAAGGGGGGCGCTCGCCCCCCCTAGACTTTTGAAAAAAAATTAAATAGGTCCTATAGTTAAAAAAGAATCAAATAAACCCTCTTTGAAAAAAATAAAGTGGTGTGTTCTAATTTTTATTTTTTTATAGATTTTATGATAAATTACTACCTACTTAACAAGTAAAATAAGTTTGATAAAATATTTTTATTTATTTTACATGTTTATTCTAACAATCTATGCATATGTAACGATTATTTGTATCAAGTACGAAAAAAAAATAATTTGAAATTGGTATTACCAATTTTTTAGAACATTTAGTTTTCCCATCTAGATCATATTAAATAATATTTTGTGATAAAATTTGTGTTTCAAATTGAAATTTAAATACACATAAATTTTAATAAGTTTTTCTACATTTAGGGTTTTTAAAATTTTAGTTTTCATATATTTAAATTTTAATCTTATTTATAAATTATAAGTCAAGATGAATTCATTTTTAAGATACACATTTCAAATTTTAATTTTATTTGTTCTAGTTTAATCTTGCATCCATAAGCAAAAGAATTCTAGTAGATTAAACTCTTGATCAAAGAGGTTTAGGGAGTGGACGTACCCTGAGTCAAAAGAATCACTATAAACCACAGCTTGATATTTTCTTTTTTTTTTTCTTTTTATTTTTATTTTTTTTGCACTTTATTTGCAATATTATAATTACTGTTTGTTTATTTTGTACAACTGTTTATAAATTAGAAATTTGATTCAAGTTTTAAAGAAAAAAAAACAAGATTTACAGTAAGTTGATAAGACCTATTTCACCCCCTATTAGGTAACCAATTGGGATTACAACAAGATCTTGCTTTAAGGAAATAAGATGCATTTAAAGTGAAAAACATGTCTTTAGGAACCTGTGGCAAAACCAGAATGAGCACATCATCCATGGCCATGTAAAGGTTACAACTTAAACTCACCAGGCTTTCCTCTAGAAAGAACAGGACTTTCAACTGGTTCCACTCCATATAGCTAGCACGAAAAAAGAAAAACCAATGAGAAAATTGATGATGACTGATGACCAAAATGGTACAGATTCAAGTTCTTACTTTAATTTCTTAGACTACATAAGATACATGTCAACAAATCTAATAGCAAATTATTTCTTAGACTGAATAAGATTCACATTAACAAATCCTATAGCAAATTAACATCCACACTAAGAGCTCATTACCTTTATATTGGGGTTCTGCTCTTTAAGATATTTGCCTGCACCTGTTATGGTACCACCAGTACCTACCTCAGAAACAAATGCATCAATTTTTCCATCTGTGCCTCTCCATACTTCTGGTCCAGTCGTCTCATAATGTATCTACATTACATTGTCAAATATTAGTTTATTATACATTTCCAACCAACAACTGCATCACTAAAAGGTAAATTAAGAAAATACCTTTGGATTGGCATGATTTTCAAACTGCTAGAGCACGTATGTGTTGGGAAGAATGGGGTGTCACCTGAGCATAGTGGAAATAAAAGCAACACTAAAATATTTCCAAATCTATTTGAAATTGTTAGGAGCAAGCTAAATTCAGTCTAAATAAATTATAGCAACAACTGAAAAATATGCAGAACAGCAAAAATAGCTAAGACAAAGCAACCATCACAAGAGACACAATATTTTTGCGTGAAAAACCTCAAAAATAGGTAAAAATCATGGGACATCCAGTTCACTCAAAATAACTCCACTATAATAAAAGTAAATACACAATATCCTCTTTTGAAAAGGCACAGTCACCAAAACATGAGCTACTATTTAAGGTACAAAAACTGCACTTACAGAGCTCAAAACGAAAAACTGACCCTTTAGATAGTAGATCAAAGTCTTGTGAACTCCCAGACCAAATTTCAGTTCAATTCAACATTGAACTTTTACGGATTTGTCAAAGTTGTAAGACTGTGTACTGTACCAAATCTTCCGAATTCTCCCCTGCTTTCTTTCCCTTTCTAGCGGCTGGTCCACTCACGTGTTTTGCACTTTTTTGCTGTCCAAATCAGACCTCTTTCTTTTGTCTTAAAGGCTGCAAAATGTGGCTTCAAGTGGGTTTACTAAGTGTGGGCTTAGTCCACAAATATTGGCCATTTCTCCACATAGGAGGGATAGGCCTAACCCAACAGTATGCATCAGGTGTCTTAGCTAGAATCTGCTCAGCCTTCTGCACAGCACCCTTCATGCCCTTAGCTGGATCAGTAGGAACCATCTCAGCTCCAAAAGCTCTGAGAATGATTCTTCTTTCAAG